AAAAGCCAGACGACAATTCACTGTAAGCCACATTTGACTACATTTTAGCATCAGGGGTGCTCCTGACATCGAAAAGAAAAATAAAGTTGTTACAGTTATGTTTGTTATTACAACAATAAGAATTATAATTCTAATTTTCAAAGTTTAAAGCGTGTGCAATTATTTAACTAATAAAATTTATATCTAATATAAAATTTATATAATAAATTTAATAAAATTTAATCAAATATGAATGAAAATTTATAATAAATTTAATAAATTTAATCAATAAATGAATGAAATTTATAATAATAATTAATATAAAATTTAATAAAAATGAATGAATTTATAATAAATTTAATAAAATTTAATCAATAAATGGATGAAATTTATAATAAATTTAGTTACGAAATTAATTATTAATAAATTAAAGAAATTTATAATAAAATTAATTAATAAAATTTATAATAAAATACGACTCACCCGAAACGTTTTCTTAATAAGCACATTTTGGTTGATTTTGAGCCGCAGCCAAAGAGGCTTGCCTACGCCTGAACTAAACTAAGTTATTAAGTAGAAAAGGCGCACAAAATGCAATTTTTTACTTGAAATTTTGATTTTTCTAAGAGCATTACATTATTATACGTCTATCGTCTATAGCATCTATGGTACTTACTCCATCATTAACTAAATTGGCCCACTAGCGGCCGAGCGGTAAAATCGCTGAACACTGGTAGTGCGGTTCGAGGTTCGAATCCCGCGAACGGGTTGGCTGCATGGGTGTTTTCGTGGTTTTCCCCATGTGTAACGTGTATACGAGCCAGTTTCCCTTAGAAAGTCCTCCACGAAGGCATCCCTCCCCTTAGGCAGATAGCCCTAGTGTGCTTTGCCGTAATTAAATACACACACACACACACATTAACTAAATTGAAGGCAATATTGCTCTTAATTTTCGATATACCATTTTTGTATTACTTTTATTATTATTCTATAAATTTTAATATTTGTTAACATTTAAAATATGAATAAAAACATAATATTTCGTTAACTACGTTTTTGAAGTACATTACTCTAAGACAGAAAAAAGTCAGTTAAAATTTAGAATATCTTTAATGTACTGAGCATTTAAAAATTCAAAGTAAATTAAAGTGTGAAGTAGATTTTTTATGGATCGCATTTTATGCTTCTCATGAGTAATGGATAAGTAATGATATAATTAGTATTCTCTTTTATGCATCGTTTGAATTTTTTTTAGTTAAAACTTACTTAAAATATTTAATGTTTTAGATATTTAATCAATCCGTTTTTAATGACTAAATATTCAGCGTAACTGAAAGAAAGTCTTCAGGTCATCATTAAATGTCAGCTGAAGTTTATGTTTAATAACAACGTCGATAAAAAATATTTGCCTTCAGTTGACGGAACAATAACTGAGCAAATAATGGCGAATATTTTAACACGCTGACAGCTTTATGATTCTAATCAGTTGCGAATACGTCAGAATGAAGAGAAATGCTTATTAAAGTTAAAAATCACATCAAGCCTTTCTCTCTGTGCACCTATTATTTGTGCTTCGATAGATTTTCACGCTCAGTTATTCATGTTATTAGTAATGAGGATTTCATCTGAGTTTGAACATTTTTACGTTGACTTCAAAAGTATTTGATCAGAAACATTTAACTGGGACTTCTTTAAGAAATGGACCTTAAAAACTATATTTTCCTTAATTACATTTGTTTTTATACTTTATAGTTCCCATTCTATTTATTATAATTATATACTATAATAATCTCTACATATAATAAAAGAACGAGTCTGTCTGTGTGTGTGTATCTGTCTCGTTCGCGTTGCGCGTAAGCTAATAGACCCACGCCTACGAAATTTGGTACATAGGTGCATCTAGACTAGAGCCAGTGCACCTCGAAGCGATTTTTTCGAAATTCGAATTAGAATTTTTTTAATTTTATGTTTTGTGACGAAATGGCGTCATTTTGAGACACAGTGGGCTATAGGAAAGCGAGATTTTACTCTACACACTCCATTTTTGCATCGTCATGAAACGTAGGCACTTAGCTATTTTACGAACTTAAAATAAATTTCGTGTTTCAATAAATCGATTCAATACGAATTTATTTAACAAAGGGAGCTTAACACTTTTTCAACGGGATATTTTCTAAAAAAGTTTATTTTTAAAAATGTACAGTTTATTTTTCCTTAATTTTTGGACACGTTAAACTTTCATCCTTGCGACTGCTTTTACAAAAAGAATTTTGGAAAAATGATAATTTTTGTATTTTAAAAAAGTTTTTTTAATGAAGCTTCCGAGTACACTTCTCCCATCTCACATCTTTAAAAATGTGATTTTGGCAACAATTTTCCTCTCTTATTGTTGTTGATAGATTTTTGATGAAATCGCATCATTTTGAATAGTTTCATTCTTTTAGAAATATGGGTTTGGCAACAATGTTTCATCCTATTTCTTATGTCACTGTTTTTAAGAGATTGGCATATTTCATTGTCATTTATATATATATATAATACACTTTTACTGATTTTTTTTGATAAAGTTGTTATGCAGAGTAAAATTCTGCGCAGAATTTTATGTCTTTTGAGTTGCTTTCATGTTATTTTTTGCTTATTTCACTGTTTGTAAGATATTGAAATGTTTTGCATGATTTTTTATCTTCAACGGAAAGTTGATTCATTTTTTATTAGGATAATTAATATTTGTATTAAGGGATATAGCTTATTTCATTGTAATTTTTATCTCTTGAAAATATAAGATAAAATATCATTAATTATACTTTGGTTTTCAGGATATTTTGTTTTTTTGTACTCTTTTATTTTATTTATTCCTTATTTCACTGTTTTTAAGATATTGAAAAGTTTTGAGTGATTTTTTTAGGAAACAAAGTTCTTAACCTCCTTTATACCATTTGAGTTCTTAAGATTTTGGAAAGGGAAGTTGGTTAATTTATTTATTAGGATAGTAAATATTTGTATTAAGGAATATTGCTTATTTCATTGTAATTTTGTTATACATAATAACTTTTCTATGAAGTTGTTCTGCAGAGTAAAATTCTACGCAGTTTTTAAATTTAACGTTTGGTGTTTCCTTCAGCCATTTTTCCGGTACATTTAAAAGCCAGACGAAGGCTGGCAACGAAGCTGCTAGTTTGTTATAAATGAAACATCATATTTGAGAAATGATGTCTCAGAGACCCACATTCCTACCTGGAAAGAAAAGAATCATACTTGTCTCAACATTTCTCAAGTATGGTGTTCCAAATGAACTCGACATAAATAGAGTAAAACATCGATTATTCATGTGATTGGTTACCTGAATTCATTAAGACGTGTTTGGAAAGAGACCGATGAAGATTCCGAAAAACGTCTGTATGTGAGACAGAGATATAGTAAGTGATATTCTTTACAATCTACCAATCACTTTCTCTAGCAGTAAATAGTTTTATCAAGTTTAGTAAATAGTTTATACATTACTAATCAAGCAGTTAAAAAATTCTCATCTCAACACACTAAAAGGCACACTCTTATTTTAGGAGATAATAAAAATTCTGTTGTCATTCCCTTCTTTCCATCAATTAGCTATAAAGTTGCACATATTTTGCAGAAATTTAACTTTCGGGTTGTTTATTCTCCCATCAATAAAATTCCGAGTTCCATACTCAAGGACCCCATTCTGGATATGAATTCTTGGGGTATTTATAGGATTCCTTGCCAGTGTGGTTTAATTTACATTGGCCAAACTAAGAGAGCCTTAAAATTTCGCGTCAAGGAACATGAGGCATATGTTAGAAAAAAGGAAACACAGAAGTCTTTTGTTGCCCAACATTGTTGGTCCGAAAATGACACTTTCAATTTTTCTGCTGCCAAAATTATTCAAAAAATATCTTCCATTGAAGAATTGGATTTTCTAGAGGCATTTAACATTCAAAAAAATCTTTCTGTTCTAGTTAACAATCCTAATTCCAATCCATCTTGCCTTCGGCCTTTAAAGAAATTATGTATTAGTTCTGATTTCATCAACAGATGGCGCCATTTGCTTACTCTTGTCCAGGCTTTCTTATCTTATCTAATCATTATTTCCTATCTTGTTCATTTGCGGTTTTGCAGCTGAGGATGGTGGTTCGGTAAAACCATCGAAACTAGTTCTGTGAAAATTTTGAAAATTAACGCTGATTTTTGTTGTTTGACTTCTGTATTAGTATTTATTCGGCATGCTATTGTGTCTTAATTAGTTTTATCAACATTAAATATAAATGTAAGCAATTTTATAAGGGTCCAGCTACTATTTGTCGGAGTGAAAGTAATCGGATCATATGATATTTATATTTTCTTAAGTGCGAAGAGCATGATTTTTAATAAATAACGATAACACACAAAACGTTAAGATAACGTCCTTTTAAATGTAATATAAAATCTTAAAAGCTTTCAGATTTTCATTTTTTTATACTTTATATTTTCTATTCTACTTACACGCAATGAATTATTATAAATAAAACATCATATTGGGGAAATGATGTCTCAGAGAGAGACAATCGTATTTGAGAGAAAAGAATCATACTTGACAGTGAGAGACATTTCGCAAGTATAGTGTTCCAAATGAACTCGAAATAAATGCAGTAAAGTATTGGTTATTCCCATGATTGGTTATCTGAATCTATTAAGACGTGTTTGGAAAGGGGTTGATGAAGATTCCCCAAAACGTCTGTGTGTAACACAGAGATGTAATAAATCATATTCTTTGCAATATACCAATCTTTTTCCCTAACAGTAAATGGTTTGATCAAGATTAAATGCAAATGTAAACAATTTTATGAGGGTGGAGTTGCAGATTTTTGGAGTGAAACTAATAAGATCATATGACATTTAAGAATGGTTTCTGAGGATTTTCATAAGAATCGTTGTTGCTTTTAAACTAAAATTAATTTCATTTAACAATTTTGGATGAAAACAGTTCTCCTGTTAATAAATGAAAATAAATAAGATCAGTCTCACAGACATTGCATTGAATAAATATTTTATTTCATTTGAATAAAAAAAGCTGCCTCTGAAAAAGCAAAACAGGATGCACATATCTTTCATAGCTTGTAAAGGTATAATATTATACGTATAACTTTCAGAGTATAAATAAGTTACATTTACTGCACAGAAGCAGAAAAATAAGAAGAAAGATACAAATAATTAACAGAAATATTGCTGAAAATAAAAAATGAAAAATTCGGCTTTCATCATTACTGAGAGTATATCATGTACAAATAAATAGAATAAATACAAAAGTTAAAAATATTAAATACCCACAAGAATAAATAGCAGCTGCTGCATCTTACAAAGCTAAGATCTTGAAGTGCAAAATGAAAGGTAAACCTTTTCCAACTGGCTCCGAGTGAAAATAGCTACTTCAGGCTGTGTTACTACTAACCATTACTGGTAAATAACGACAGTAATTACAGCCTTTGCTAGAAACAAGTCATAGTCCTTCTTTCATCTAAATCAATTTACTTTGTTACTGGGGCGGCAGGATAGGCATGGATATGCTTGACCAGAGTTGTTGGTGCATTTCCGGTTGTGACAACGGTTGGTAGGAGAATGGATCCACTTTCTTCTCTTTCGGCCCTCACGAGGTCTGTTACATGGGGGTTTCCAACTTTGTAAGTGGGCCCATCATAAGGTCTGGCCACAATTGGTGTCTGGGCAGAAGATGAAGAAGCAGATGCACTTGCACTTCTGACCTGGCTGCTGGCCTGGGAAGCATAACTCTGGGTGCCCAAATACGGATTTCGGCTCTGATAAGAACTGGAAGAGGCTTGGTATCCTGTAGCTGATGGATACTGGCTAGCGCTGGTTGCTGAGGCAGCATTGTTGGCGGCGTACTGGTTGCTGACTGTAGACGGATATTGGTTACTATTTACGGCGTTGGTAGAGAATGCATTTGGCTGAGGTGGAACATAGGGATAAACTGATGTTCTAGTGCCGGTAGCTACTGGAACAACACGAACTGGCCTTGTCTGACGGTTAGCGGTATTAGTAGCTGCACCTGCTGGGTTTCTCCTTGAAGGCTGCTGTCCTGAAGCTTGTCCAGCTTGGGCACCTTGAAGATGCTGCTGAGGATGGTAATAGGGTCGTTCAACAATCACACCAGCTGGTGGGGGCTCGGCATATATCTGTACGTTGGCAGGGCTTTGTGTTCCCATTCCAGGCTCATTTGATTTCACTTCAGCCCTAAATCCATACTCATCGGCAACGTAATCCACATGACGGAAGACACCATAGGGATCAGTGTAACCGTAGCTACCACGAACAGCACCGTTGTTGTCAGAGGACTCTTGACGGTTCATAATGGTCCCATATTCATCTGTGCTCTGGAAGCCAAAGTCATAGGGCTCAGCTCTAGCAGTGTCCTGAAATAAAAGAAACTATGCATGGAAATCCTTCTGAAAATTCTTATTTTAAGAAAAAATAGATTTGCTCTACTCTTTGTTGAACGTAGGAAGTGCATATATGTATATCCATGTATGAACGTAGGAAGTGCATATTTGTATATCCATGAACGTAGGAAGTGCATATATGTATATCCATGAACGTAGGAAGTGCATATATGTATATCTATCTATCTATGTATATATAGATATACTTAATACATAAATCTCCAAATCTGTTCCAAATACTATTTTAATAAAACTGGTTTTTATAAGCATATAAAAAAATCACAACTTGAATAAAAATGGGTTTTATAAAACTTGCAGTGAAGCATAAATTTAAGAGTGCCAACTTTCGCCTAAAACTAATGAGATCCCTTAATGTTAACTCCAAATTCCGAAAAATTATTTTATATTTTAATGGGTGATTAATGCATTTCAGTATACTGTTCATTAATATTAAGAGTACAGATTTCTAGGCAGTTTAATGGGTGGTTAATGCATTTCAGTATACTGTTCATTAATGTTAAGAGTACAGATTTCTAGGCAGTTTAATGGGTGGTTAATGCATTTCAGTATACTGTTCATTAATATTAAGAGTACAGATTTCTAGGCAGTTTGGATTTCCATTGCTCCCATTTTAACAGAAAGTTTTCAAAAATACCATGCAATTTTGAGAACCAATTAATAATTTATTACTGAATATGTCTGGAAGTTTTTCTTGTAATTATCTGTATATAATGGTTGCTCTTAGAATTTTTGCATTTTGATTTTAATTAAACTGTTGTATTACTTAATGCAAGTGCTTTCTCGAAACATTGATTCTGAAGGTAAAAAGGTTCCCACCCAATTTTTGTTCTCAAGAGAAATCAAACTCTGATCGATATTTTAGAGTTTATTAAATTATTAGATAACATAGTATAAAGTACTTATTTATTTTAATCAACCAGTTATTTTATGTTAAGCGTCTTTAACGTCACTTCTTCTTTTTTGTTTTCCTGCCAAAATGCAAATTTTAGTTTGCACGTATTTATATGACGGAGAAAGAGATACTATTAAAGGGAAGTTTTAGATTGCTTAAACAGAGCGTGTTCTTCCTGTTGAAGACGACATTACTAGTTGATAGTCTACGTTAATAGTCTGTCTTATGCGTTGCTTTATTGTTTGTTTCCAATAGTACTTGTCACACCAGTGTAGGTCTGAGCCAACTAATTATTTCTCTGGAGCTTTTGGCTAATTTACGACTTAGATTTAGTTTGGACTCCTTACTTTTGGAGTTACGCTATCAGTGCTGGCTTGTTTTGTAAGCAAAAGAAGCGCCTTCTGCTCATTTATTTTGTTCTTAAGAAAAGGGTCTTTTACATATTCTTATGTCTCTGTGTGACTGATTAGGCTTAGCGATAACACGCTCACGTCTATTGAAGAGTCTTGATTTAGTGATGCTACTTAAAAGAGTCAGACCCTACAACATTGTCAGACATTTTATAGTTTTCTGATCTAGGATATTTAAAAACACTAGATTTAATTCCTTTTAATTTAATGAATATAAACGTTAAAGAAATTTTAAATTTATATAAACTGATTTTACTTTTTAATTGGCGACAATTTACATACGTATCATGATGGTTTGAAACAATGGTTCTGAGAGTAAAATGGTTACTAGATTTTGTTTCAAGAAAAATCTATCTGTGATTGATATTTGAAAGTTTATTAATTTGTTTGATAACATTACTGAACATTTTCCAGTTTTCTGGCTTAGGCTATTTTGAAACACCAATTTTTAACTGTTTTTAGTTTAGTAAAAAAGATAAAGCCAAAAGTTTAAGAAATTTGAAACTTAAATAAACCAATTTTACTTTTTAATAGAAGACAATTACATGAAACAAATATCTTGATTACATAGGGATGGATCATTTTAAAAATATTTCTTTACGATGCCATTGTGTAAGTCTTTATTTACAAATGCTATTAAATGAGCAACCCTAAAAATCTGGAAATGTTATCCAAGACCATTAAAATAATATTTTAATTTCCCATAGTTATCGTAATTAAACATAATCTCCTTATCAGCAAGTGTTTAAAAGGTATTTATTAATTTGAACTTAAGTTTTAAGCTTTTATTTAAATAACAGAATTTTTAAGAAAATTAAATCTTTATTCAAAATATTATTGCCACAAAATCACATACAAGTATTTTGAAATACTATTTTAGTTTTATTAGCTGCCTCCAATGTAAAATTTGAATTAACTGTAATAGAAGAAAGAAGAAGAGAAGAAAAGCGATAGAATAAAATAAGTAAATTTATCGAAGGTTTAGCATTAATTCTGGTATCTTATTACTTGATATTTTCACAATACCAAGAAATGGATTACGAAATTCATGTTTCCTTTGCAACCATATGGCATTACCTTAGTATTTTAAATATTTTATTTTAGACTTTCAGTTGTATTGCTAAATTGGTTTGAAATAGCAGCTAACTCGACAGATCCGAAAAGAATGGTATTAGTCAAAATTAGATGTTAAATTAATTGTTGATAGTAAAAAAAAAAAAAAAAAAAAAAAAAAAAAAAAAATACAAACATAAAAGTTTTATCTCAAAATATGAAATTTTCTGAAAATACCTGGCTTGCTTTGAATTTCGTTTTATTTCCGATAACCATGAAAAACACCATGAAAATTTTAAATTGATGAAGCTGAATTAACAAACGGCTTATATTTCTCTAGTCTTAGTACTGTTTATTAATCCTTTACATTATTTATATTAAAGTAAACAGCTGTCGCAGTTGAATTTGCTTTTTGTAAACGATACACAATCATTTTTAGGTGTAAAACTAGTGTTTTGATTCAAGTCACTAAATTCTTTTCGATAAATATTTTCACTGCTCTTCATTTGTGTTACGCACTCAATTCATAACCAGCCTATTAATTATCACACCAAGTGTATATATTGAGTTCTATATTATATATATTGATGGAAAATTAATTCAATATATTAGGACTATAACATATGTATTAAGAATAATATAATAAATTAGGAATTTTCTATAATACTATGATGATTTCCGGAAATATTGCAACCTGAGCGCATTTTTCAAAGATTTAATTTCTTTTTTCTGTTTAACATTTTATATTGCTTTGTTAAGCTTGTATATATATTGAAAACAGGAATTTATATATTTTCATGCTTTTTATGTATACGTTTATTATTACATATTTTTGTTCCGAGAATCAGTTATTTGAAGACTCTTGGAAAAACTTTTGTAAAAATTGGGAAGGCATGAAACAGCGCTGCGCTGCTAAACATTATAATTTTTTGGTGCTTATCTGTTGTTATTTTCAACAGATGCTTTCTCATTCTTACATATTTCTAAATAAAACTGAGTCCTGTATATATTTAAATTAAAATTTAACGTTCCAGATTAGGAGAAGTTCCCTGTTATACGAAATTAAATTTTTAATTTTCATTCTTTTCTTTAAAATGCGCTTTCCACTATCAGCATTCAAAATCAAATTTTTATTCAAATATTGTAAACTCTTATTTAAAAACCTACTAATACACTAATTCAAAAATCAGAGCTCCTCCTATATGCTGCCAAGCATTAACTTCCGTTTATTAAATAGAAAGATTAAAAGCTATTATTTATATTTTTCTATTTTTGGACAAAGTCATGAAAATTTTTGAGGTTTGGCACTCAGACTGAAACTCGGAGACGCTTGGAGGGCAATTGCTCAGTGTGAATAAGTTATTCATCATTATATGAAGACGTAATATTATATAAATAAAATTCTTTATCATTGCTCTCTGTTAAAATACTCTTTAGCGATCATGCATAACTAGAAACAATAATACACGACAAGATAAATAACTTACGTATTCATTAGGATTGTAATATTGGCGAGAATAGCTTGGAGAATATTGCTGCTCTCTTGCCGTTTGATCATCAGAATATTCTTGGGCAATGGCAGACCCCAAAGCCAGGAAGCACAGAAAGATCTGGAAAAAGTTTAATTTAAATAGTAACTTATTTAAGAAGAAAGAACTTATTCTTAATGTTTAATTTATTCCGTAACTTTAAAAGAGATTGCTTCATTAAATTTTTATTGAATTTATTATTTATTGAATCTGTTCAGTTTCGTACAACTATGGCTGTTACACAGAAATATTCATTTGACTTACGTAAAATATAGAGTTGTTATATAGTCTTAACAAATTGAAAAAAAAAGTGCCGACTGAATTCGACTATTTTTGAATTAGAATGTTTTAAAACTGTTTTATAATTCGTGGAGCTTAAAATTAGGCAACGGAATTAGACCGACTAGTTGATTTTATTAACTTTCGAATTATCCTCAAATTAAAATTTCTTTTAGACTGAAAATTCGTAGTGCTGCCATCTAGTGACCTTAAATAAACATATAATCTCACCCTAAAGAACAGTAATTTTGAAGTAAATAATTTTGGGTATTTGAAGATGAAACAAAATTTGAAAAGTTATTTTATATGCTGGTGATAAAATTTTAATATTTTATTTAAATAAGAGTATTATTAAAATAATTAAATCATTGCTCAAGTTAAATCATTATTCAAGCTTTAAAACCTACGATTTTTACTGTAAAGTAACTGTAATAAGAGTATTTACAAGTAAAATATATTATAGAGTCATCCAATATAAAATAATATGCCGTCTGAATGGAAGAAAATTCAAAATACTTCTCGTTTGATCATTGCAAACAGCATCATTCAGATATAAATAAATTTAAGTAACTATGTAACATTTAGTATATTTTAGTAACTTTGCGCATAGAAAGTTTTAAAATGAAAATTAGAATTTATTTGTAACAGAAAGAAAAGAATAACATTTAAAATGTTTTTTAAATTATGAAAACTGCAGAACTGTTACTATGAAATTAAATCTAAGCAATATGACGAAAGGAATATTTACATGCAGTTATACTTTTGCATGCGGTACGAGCAACAAACATGAGAATTCTAAACTTCTTTAGACGAAAAATTTTCTCTGTAATAGATATCTTAAAATTAAGTCACAAAAATAAGTTTGAGATACTTAAATACATTTAAATTAATATTAAGTGTAATGTTAAAACTGCACAATAGGTCATATCACATGACTAGAATATATCAGTAACATAAGTTTTAAAATTTCGAGTAGCATTAAACAGAAGGAATCAGTTTGATTTAATCTGTTTTGTTAGCCTACCATTTCAGGAAGTATGGTACATATTGATTAAACGAAACTGGCTCGCTAAGGTTCATGAAGGATTTAGACTTTTAAAAAACTTAACCAAAATACTCTTTTGTTTCAAATTAATTTAAAGAACTTTAGGAGACTTTTACGTACACAAAATTACTTACCTTTGCAAACATCCTAAGATAATTCACAGAACTGAAATGTTTCTTGTATTAGAACACTTCTCAGACAAATCGCTGAATGTAATGCCAAGTGAAAGTTCTGCGTGCTTTTATAGTAAACGCCAACGCTTTTTGGGTGACACTTTTGTGACCCCTTTCTTCACTTTGTGACTCTCCCTTGTGGGTGTGCGTAGCTAAATGAAGACGACACAATTTGTTTTTCTTTGCTTAAACACCTGGCTATCATCTAGTTAGACAGTCTTCTAAGTTTTCGAAATTCGGCCATAGAGGGCGTTAGCTGCAGCATGACGCGTGCCGGGCGGAAGATTGTCAAAATCGGAGAAATGGTTGCATTTTTTGTTTTGTTTTTATTGCTTAATTTTTAATATTTTCTTGCGAAATAACCTTTTTTTTTTTTTTTGTTTTTCTTTACTCAAGAATAATTAGTTTTCACTTTCCGTTCATTCAAGAAATCGAGCTTTTACATTTGTTTTATTATGTTAAAAAATTAACTTGATTCTGCTCTCTCTCTCTCTTTTTTTTATTTATTTACGTGAATTGAACTTACGCAAATCTTTTACTTCCCCCGCTTTTTTTTTGTATCATTGAATATCATTTCACATTAGGTTTAATGCTAAGTTTTAATTCTAGAGAATTTCTTGCAAATTCCTTGAAATCTGTACATACATGTTATTATTTTATACAGATTATACAGACCATGATGGACGGTGTGATGGTTAAGGAGCTTCATTGTTGCTGCATGAAATAACTTCGATCCAGGACAATCCATTCATGTTTTTAATAACTGTAGTATTTTCGGTATAAGGGTACTTAGAATCCATCGACTTAAAGGTTTCTTAGAGAGACTGGTAGTAGAAGAAAGATAAATGCTTATTTTGGGATTCCATTCCCTCAGAGCTATTTGTTAAAACGGGGAAGGAGTCTGAATATGAAACCCTTATATGCTTTTCTTTTAGTAAAGTAAACCAAAGCAGGGGTAGCAGCTCCTTTATGACTCCAGAGCAAATGTTGATTTTAAGATAGCTGAATGTTCTGATATAGTTCCTTCAAGTCTTTGCATGCAGTGTAATGTATTTAGAAATGTCTTAAAAATCTATATTGAAATTCTTTGTTAAAATTTGATGTATAATTCGTCAATTTAACGAACATTTGCTTCGCGCTTTTTCGTTTTTATATACAAGTTATTTTATTCCTAAAGTTCTTTAATCCTTTTCGGATTAATGAAAAATGACAGTCAAGGATTACTTTAGCTTGTACAAAGGAAGCCAAAAAGAGAAAATATCGCTACTATGTGAAATTTCTAATAAATACCTAATCTTTGGCTTGCTGTTTTTTTTAATCTCCAAAGAATTGTAAACAATAAGCTAAATATTTATATTAAAAAACGTTTTTTTCTTTAAAAAAAGTAGCTTTTAAATAAGCAGAGTATTGTACTTTTGTTCGAAAGTATTTTTATAGAAGTTAGTGTAATCTAAGAAAATATTATCTATTAAATATTTTCGAAGAGTTTAAAGAAAGGAAAAGAGTCAACCTGGATTTCTAATCTTAACTTTTTGTTTTACCCTAACTTGTTTCTTTCTCTTTAAATTTATTTAAGTTAGCTACAAAGATATCCGAGAATGGTTGCCTTCTGGATGAAAGAGTGAGAGTTAGCAGGATATTGCATTATCACAGTTGGAATTATGGGTTATAAAACGGCGCCTATTTTTCATTTCCAGAAACAGCCGAAGCCGCTCTTTCATGCGATGTTGGTACAATATTGTTGGGAGCTAAAATAGTATTCATGGATTCAAGTGGTTAATTTTCATACGACGAAATACAACGAGTTTTTGATACACTTTCATCAAGAAGTTCTGGGTTATAACTGGAAGCTTGCTTTATACTGTTACGAATTTGGTATTTAAAAAGCTAATGTTAGTTCATTTATAAATTAAATGGTTATATGACGAATATTAATTCGTGACGAATATTAAAAGAAAGCTAAGCCGGAAAATTGAAAATACTAGAGCGCGTGCATTTAAAATTTAATAAATATCTCTTTTTGATTTCACGAAAGTTCCAGAAAGTTCTCGGGCGCGATTTAAAAATCTTATAAAAAGGAGTAAAACCTCTCAATTCAGTTACACCAATGATAAGTCAGCTTGCAGCCCACGTGACAATTGGTCACGCCCCTTCGCCATTAGCTCCTGCGTTTCTGGACTCACACTTCGAACTTATTCTCTTTTCAGCGCCCAAAGAGATCAGCGCCCAAACATCTGATGACAGCCGGAACACATCAAGCAGAATGCTTGATAATCTCGACATAAGTGTAACTTGGAACTTGGAACAATTCAGTTACTCAGTTATTTTACTTAGCTTTTTGTTGTTTTAAGAGTTTGTTTAGAAAACTGCTCTTGTTGACAGTAGCGAATTCGCGGATTAGTTTTCTTTAGCTGTTTTGAATTAAGTTCTCTTGAACGTTTGAGTAGCTAAAAGATAACTACTGTGAGATATTGTAAAACTGCACGAATAATTTAGGAAATTTAATCATATTTGTTGTGATAATAATAAATTTTTGTTCATTTTTCATCGGACTTGTGCATTCATTTCGTAACGAACCCGTACGCACGCAACAATATATTTATGCAATACATTTTTAGCACTTTTTCGAAGAAATGTGCAGGTTGAAAACTTCTCACGCTTGTATTTGTAGCATTTTGAAAGCATCGACAGGCATAGAAAGTTAGCTAAGCGAAGAAAGTTATTTTTAAAAATTACATTTAAACCGAACACAGTTTTTTGAGTTGAGAAAGAGAAGCTTCATGAATTATGTATGAGATAATTACCTTATACTCCGGCGTATAAAGCGCACCGGTATATAATGCGCACTTATAATTTCAGACTACATTTTTTAGTTTTTATTCGATATATAACGATTTTTACAAAAAAAACCTGAGATATACATGTGCGATGCTCTTATCTTTTGAAGTCATCCATTTGAAGGTTTTTCACAGTCTTTCAAACAATGCTATAATAAACTGACAAGCGACAAGAAGAAAAATATGTGTGTGGAGGAAATGCTTAAGGTAGTTATTCATTAAGCAAAGAGGGTGCGTTGTATTCAGTGCAGATGTGCAAAAGAATGCTATTCTAAAGCTTCGAGAAGACGGGGACGTTATTTGAGGTAAGATTACACTTTCGACCCAAAAGAATCCGCGGAATTAGTAGTTAGACGTTTCCCCTTTTTGTAGTCATTTGATAGGATGGGATTTTAGAACGGAAGATGATTATTTATTTACGGATTAGATAACAATGATGGAACAAAGATTCGATGATGAAACAAAATTAGATGATGTGCCTATAACCCAAGGCGAATCTGACGCTTCATGTTATTAGATTAGAGAATTTTTTTAGTTCATAAAGATTGTCATTTCTTTTAAGCAAACAACATTTACGTACAAGTATAATTTTTGTATGCTAGTATTTTACTTATTTTTAAATATATCATTTTTATATCTAGTGTATAACAAGCGCACGTAAATTTCGATTTTATATTTTTCATTCAGCGTGCGCTTTATACACCAGAATATACGATAATTATTGGCATTCAGATTGATTCCTTTTAGAAATAAAACGAACATTTATTAAATTCGTAAGGTTATAATAATCAAGCACTTCCAAAATAGAAAGAGTCGCCTAAAATTTTACGAACGCTTTCATGCTCTCACATTCAAACAAGTCTCTAAAAGAAGATCAGAATATGTACCTTTTTCAGGTTTGAGCCACTGAGCTGGCTTCCGTCCCGGGTATAACGGGTATACCCATACGGAATTGGATGCCAACACCGAGGATATTTATTGTACTATATAAAAGATGTACATGGGCACGGTTACAGCACCTTTCTCAGGTATTGATAGTATACTACATACCGTTTATTTTAAAATTAAAAAAAAATCATGGGTTTTTTTTAAATTTTAAAATAAACGGTATGTAGTATACTTTCTCAGGTTTGAGCCACCGAGCTGGCTTCCGTCCCGGGTATAACGGGTATACCCATACGGAATTGGATGCCAACACCGAGGATATTTATTGTACTATATAAAAGATGTACATGGGCACGGTTACAGCACCTTTCTCAGGTATTGATAGTATACTACATACCGTTTATTTTAAAATAATAAAAAAAAATATGTTTTTTTTTAAATTTTAAAATAAACGGTATGTAGTATACTTTTCTCAGGTTGGAGCCACCGAGCTGGCTTCCGTCCTGGGTATAACGAGTATACCCATACGGAATTGGATGCCAACACCGAGGATATTTATTGTACTATATAAAAGATGTACATGGGCACCTTTACAGCACCTTTCTCAGGTATTGATAGTATACTGCATACCGTTTATTTTAAAATTAAAAAAAAAACTCATGGTTTTTTTTTAAATTTTAAAATAAGCGGTATGTAATATACCTTTCTCAGGTTTGAGCGACTGAGCTGGCTTCCGTCCCGGGTATAACGGGTATACCCATACGGAATTTGATGCCAACACCGATATTTATTGGATTATCCGATATCGAGGATATTTATTGTACTATATAAAAGATGTACATGGGCACGGTTACAGCACCTTTCTCAGGTATTGATAGTATACTACATACCGTTTATTTTAAAACTTTTTAAAAAATCATGTTTTTGTGGTATGTTGTGCCGTTTTTCCTATTAAACGTGTTTTTCGTTTTTCTGTCCAGGACCGTACATTGTTTATTTAAGACAATTGGAAAGTCTATAAAAGACTTTCCATTTGTCTTAACTAATCAGGACTAGTTTGAGTAAAGACTTGTTAGATTTTCCCAGGATTTCTTTGTCGGCGATATGAATTTTATTAAAATATCAGCAGTTCGAACTAAGATCTCCATGCAGCACTTTCACTGTTTGTTTAATTGATTATTGCAAAGAATGTAAGAGCTGTCTGGACTTTTAAGGAATTTGAAAGATTTCTAAGATAAACCAGCTCTTATGTGTATTATAAATACATATACAGGGTGTTTCCGAATTTGACTGGAATATTCATCGGGACGATAGTAGCCTCAAGAGGATGAAAATTTACCCTAGAACGAAACGTCGCAAACTACGTTTAGTGGATGAAAACCTCAAAAATAGACTT